TTTGGAGTTTTTCTCTCTCTGGGATTATAGACCTTTTCACAATGCTGATGCACGGTTTTTAGCTATGTTAGTTCTGTAATGTTAGTTCTGAATGTTTTCATTATATTCCCCTGGTATTTAGAAGCAGGGAAAGATTTATTTTAAAGGGAAAAAAAAGAGATCATTATTTCAGCCCCAGAGTCACAAGTTAAGAAAGGAAACTTGGAATGTGTAAATGCAATACTCCCAGCTCAAACTCCAAAGCACCTCGGGTTTTCGCCCAGCTCCATTTATTTATCATTTCAATTACAGAAGAAATCTGTTGCTACAGAGAGTCATAGTGTGTCTATTTTCTAAAGGAAAAAAGACAATTTAATCTTTAAACTCTTTCTTGTGAATATTTTTTCTACCATTGAGTGTTTTAGGAAATAAACTTTACCTATAAACAGTTTCTTTTCATCACTTGAACTCAATTTCTTTTTCCTCTTTTGTGAGATTCCTTGTACCCCCTTGTACTGAAGCTTGATTATCATGCCTGCCAATGATAAACAGATTCATGACTTTTAGGAATCATATGAATTTTATTAGCCAAATTTCTTAAAATATTCCTCTAACTTATATGACTGTTCTCAGACAAATTATGTATTTAGCAATGCTTTTTTCTTACATGCCATTCAAGATAAATTAATACTGTGTATATATTTTTTCTTATGGTATCATAAAAACCTAAAACTACAAAAAGAAAAATATAAAACAAAAACCCCAACCAAGCAAACATGTGTTTAGGGATATTTTAAAGGTGGTGTTTACTATTTCAGAGTAAAATGCAATCTTCACAGTGGGAAAAGCGGATATGTCAGATAAGAATCACTCATCACTAATTCAGAGTCATTATGGAGACTATTAAAAATATCATGAACTCTCATAGCAAATATGTGAGTATGAATCAGAGACATGGAGCTCTCAATTTCCATATAACTGTTCATTTTTATATGCATGTATAGCATATTATAAAGTTCAAAATTAGTTACTAGACTATTTCTCACTTTTACTGAACAGACCAATATACTGGTATTAACCTTATGGGCTGGCATTGCCCTTCAAAATAAAGATTGAAGGCAAGAGATCTAGCCTAAGGAAAATATCACAGTGTCATAAGGATAAATATTTGTTGAAAAATTATACTTTGCTGCACAATTTATAGTAATAAAAAAGGAAAAAAATGAAATGATTTCAATGTTCAATGAAAGGGCATTATCCATATAATTTAGATTCATCTCAAAGATTGCCATTAAAATAATTTTTCCCAAAATTTTATTTTCACAAGAAAATGGTCAGGATATAGTGTTAGATAAAAAGAGGAGGATTTAAAATGATACATCCTATAAGAAGCCAATTTATGTATCTAATTAAAAAAACCAAAAGCTGGAAAGGAATAATCCAAAATATTAAAAATAGTAAGATTAAAGATATTTTCAGTTTCTTCTTTAAACTTTTATATTTTGAAGTTCTCCATAATTATTAATTTTCTAATAACAATTAAATTGAACTTTTTAAAAATTAAAGAAAAAGATTTCAAAATCAGATTTGGGGACTAATCCAGCATTATATTAATAAATATGTATTAATTAAAATCAAGAAATAAACATATTTCAATTAAAAATAGTGTTTTTAGAGTTAACTCATTTTAGTAAATTTAGTTATTTTAGTAAAATGTCTTTTTTGTGTTAGGATGAAAATAAAGGGTAGCTATATTGAATCACATGAAAATGCATGGCAGTGGGAAGAAACTTCTCTTTAAGTCAATGTGGCAATGACTACAGTTGTTAGCATATAGCATTCATTCATTCATTCATTCATTCCTCCAAAGTATTTTTGTCTGGGAAGATAGCTTGTGGGCCTGGCTCCTATCATTGAATTTGGGGAGTTCTCAGTTGTCAGAATTAACTAACCCCCAACTTTTGGTTCTAACCAAAAAAGAATTCAACTGAAAAAACCCTGGACATAACAGAACAAACAAGTATGAGAAGACTCTGAGATGTAGAAGGAAATGGATAACCTGCATAGGGAGCTTGGGATTCCCCAAGTTTTCCAATTGTGTACCATGTATTCCCAGCTTGAATCTATCATCAGAAACTTCTAACCTGGTATCACAGACAAAATAATTTCCAAGAAAAGCTTCTTTCTCTTAGCAAAGAATTTGGAAAAAGGTAGCCTAACCGAACAATCAGCATACCCACTATGGTTTCTGTAAGGCTGAGTGGGGATATGATCTCAGTAAAGAAATGGAAGTTATATATATATATATATATATATATATATATATATATAAATGTAATGTTTTCTTTGTCCAACAAATGTTTATTGAACATCTACTATATACTATATTCTGTTCTGGGCTCCATAAAAGAGTTAAGTAATATAAAAAGGAGCAAGGAAAATTACTTCAAAATTTCAAAGTTCAATGGGGAAATATTAACAGTGATATAAGCATTGGGTAAGTAAGAGATGTTAGTAGAAGATGTGCCAAATGGAGTCATGGCATACACTAATGTAGGTTTGGTTCTCACTGAAGGTATATTTATTTGAAACTATGAGTGTTCAACCTGTCATTAATTGATGGCAGCAAATAGAAATGCCTTCCTATTTGTTGATTGGTAGTGACAGACACTTTCCTGGTATAGGAAAATTATCTAGATCAGGAAATAGTTAAGAATTGACTTTATAGGATCTCCCTGATGGTGCAGGGCTCAAGGACACAATGCCTTCAAGCTATTGCCAGCCACTCCAGCATGAGTTCGATCCCTGGCCCGCCAGTGAGCTAACCTATATGGCGCTGCAGACCTCTCCTGCTGCTCTTCTCAACACTGTATTTCAGTAGATCTGCCTGTTCTGCTCCCCACTGTCTCTGGTAAATCCTCTCACCCCTCCCCCACCTGCACCTCTGGCCTATATCCCGGTTCTTGTATACATAAATTAAACAATCTTTAAAAAAAACAATTGACTTTATAAAAAGATCAACTTCCCATAAGGTGACTTTGTGCAGAGCTAATAGCAACCCCAGAATAGCTATATTTAAGTTCAAACTCTGGTGTCCATGCCCAGATGATATCCCCAACTAAAATGAAGAGCCCCACAGGAAGGGAATACATCTACATAGGGCATGGTGCTTCTCTTAGAATCCAGCCTTATGGTAGGATACATGCTCTTCTGCCAATTGTATTGCTCCCCAGGATGGCATGAAAACTGGGGCAATAGAAAGCAGCAACACTTATCATTGTGGATTTCAAAGGAAGTGTGCCCCAGGTCAAAGAGGCTGTGAAGATGTTTGATGACATTGATGTGGCCAGGGTCAACACCCTGATCAGACCTGATGGAGAAGAGAAGGCATGTGTTTGGCTCCTGACTAAGGTGCTTTGTATGTGGCCAACAAAATGGAGATCATCAAAATGGAGTCCAGCTGGTAAATTCTAAGTATTTTTTTTTCATCATAAAAAGAAAGGAAAGAATGGGGGAAACACACTTGTGCCACACTTGTTCAGGTTGCCTTTTATGTACAACCTGAGCCAAATGATGTTTTCTGTGTTATTCAAAAGCCTGATTGCTAAATATTTTTAAAAAATCAATATCTTTATGAGGAAACAAAGATTCAGACTATCTAAATTCTTTGCTCAAGGATTCCAAACTAACATTGGTGGAATTACAATTTTTGAGTAGGTCTTCTAACAATCAGGCTATGGCACTTGCCACCTCATCAAGCTATCATTTCTTGTAGGTTTGAATCAAAAGAGGATATAAATTCCAAATAAAAAATATATGAGAAAATATATTATTCATATCTTGAAAAGTGAAACAGAAAAGTCTTCTGACTTAAATGTTTGAAGATAGGGAAGATTCTCATTATTTACCAGATAGATGGCATTAATGTTTCATTTACTAATGTTATGAGTTCTATGTGTATTTATCTTTAAAATTTGATAAGCTGTTTGATTGGCTTCATTATTTTTTTTCATAGTCCTTATGCCTTTAATTGAATAAGAAATAAGATTGTCCACTCAGTATTTGAGTCTTATAATTTCAAGTGAGAGATAATCATTATTGTTGACATGATTTAACTGAGTTTTCCTTTATATTTACTTTCATTTATTTTTTTTAATTTTAAAAATTTATTTATTTATTTTTAAATAATAAATTTTATTTTTATATTTACTTTTAAAATAAGTATATATTTTTCCCACTGCCATCCTTTGTATCCCGTGACCCTTTGTCCCTCCCACCTTCCTTTCAACCTTGGAAACCTCACTTCATGTATTTAGTGTCTTAGTTTTTATGTGTATTTTGCATTGTCGTATTTTCTGCTATATATGTCTTTGTCATTCTGACTTGTTTAACTACACATAATTTCCTTGAACACCTTCCATTTGTTAAAAATGGCAACATTTTGTCTTTCCTTTATGGCTGAATAGCATTCCATTGTATACACTTACTTTTGTTTCAAAACTACAGCTAATTGCTCTAGGATATATATTTGCCTGCATGTGTTCCTTGATCTCTTCTGTCTCTGATCTATGTTGATCTTGATCTAGTCTGCACAGTATTACCAAAGTAACATCCCTAAATAGCTTTTATTCTGTATTTTTTCATTGTTGCATAAAGCATCATATATTAATTCATGTACTCTCTGTTGTGAGCAGTTGCTGGGGATCCAGTCCAGTCCACAAGGCTGTCTACCCACTGGGAGACCCTTGTTGTTGGGGTGAGCTTGCAGCAGTCCTGTAGTCCTCTCCCTCCTTACCTACAGCTAAGTGGGTCCTTTTGGGTTAACTGAACTGAGCAGCACCCAGAGGTCATCTATCTTGGATATGACATTAGGTCAACAGTGACCCTGCATGCACATAACTCAATCTCATCCTAACTTTACTCCTAGGTGGAAGACTTTTGCGTTAACTCTTTTTCCTGCTATAATAGATGGCTTATTGTAGACTCAATGTGAAGGAATAGCTGAGTCTCCATCTTTTCAGTCCCAAGGAGAGTCAGAGGCATTGGGATGGATACCAGGACTTCATCATCATAAAATGGAAGACATTCTGTAATGACAGCAGAAGTGACTGTTGCCACCTTGGAGGAGAGGACACTTGCAACACAGGCTGAGGCAGGTATGTGTAAGTGTGTAGTATAGTGAATAAGTACTCACAATGCTGACCCCATCTGTGGGAAAGGGAGTGTTCACTATCATCTACTTCAGAAGTCAGAGAAACGAAGCATTGCAGAGAGATTTTTTTTTCAAGTGTGATTATGGCAAACACAATGTGCAACTGGGCTGCAGCTAATCTGCAGCGATTTGGCAATATTTATGTATATGGAACAATTCCTTCCTTAATGATGATAGCTAACTATAGCATCACTGAATTTTGATTTCCACAAAGGGTTTTTCTCAAATATGATGGGAAATAGAATACATTTTGTTTTTAGAAGTAAAACCCTAGGGCCTCCCCGGTGGTGCAGTGGTTGAGCGCTGGGTTGTGAAGCTGCCCGCAGCCTCTGCAGTGCCGGTTCGATCCCCGGCTGCTCCCTGGCCACTGGAGGAGGGTCCCACATGGCGTGCAGACCTCTCCTGCCGCCCGCTGCTCCCCTCAGCGGTGTACTTCGGTCCTTCTGCCTGCTCTGCTCCCCACTCTGGCTCTGGTGAATTATCTCACCCTCCTGTGCTTCTGACTGTACCCAGTGCTTGTATAAATAAATAAAAATAAATCTTAAAAAAAAAAAAAGTAAAACCCTAGAGGAGAACAGAAGGAAATTCAATATTTGGTAACAGAAGTCTTAGGTTCATTATTGAATAAAACTGGAAGGAATCTCATAAAATTCTGTGAACCAGCTTCATGCCTTCAGATAAAAAAAATGTCTAACAGCATCAAAACACAAAATCAAGACTTTGAAACATATTATCTTCTGGAGCCACTCTATATTAATACCTCCCCCACATTTTCTCAAAGCTTTCCAAGGAAATTCTAATAATTCCAATAATTATGATAATCAAGATATTCTTTGAAAAACCTAACCCCCAATTTTCCCCCTTAAGCTTTTAAATAACAGCTTTATTAAGATTTAAGTCATATGCCATAACATTCTCTCCTTTAGAGTGTATAATTTAGTGCTTTTCAGTATATTCAAAATTGGGCACCCATTATGACTATTTAATATTAATATATTTTGATCCACCCCTAAAAAACTCTGTACCCATTAGCAGTCACTCCCCATTCTCTCTTTCCCTTACCCCCAGCAATAGTAATCTTTCTTTTCCAAAGGATTTGCTTATTCTGGACATTTCAGATAAATGGAATCATATGACAAGATCTTTTGTGTTTGGTTTCTTTCACTCGACATAATGTTTTCAAGGGTTATCCATGTTGTAGCTTGCATCAATACTTAATTCCTGTGTAAGGTCAAATAATGCTCCAATATAGAGTAAATCCATATTTTAAAAATCTATATATCAGTTGCTAGAATTTGGATCATTTCTGCTCCTTGGTTTTTAAGAGTAATGCTGCTATTTACCTTGGTGCACAAGATTTGTATGGATATATGTTTTCATTTCTTTTGGGTATATATCTAGGAGTGGAATCACTGGGTCATATGGTGACTCTATACTTAACTTTTGTGGACTTGCCAGCCTGTTTTCTAAGTGACTGCATCAATTTCCATATCTACTAGCAACACATGAGGTTTCTAATTTCTCCACATCCTTGTCAATATTTGGTATCGATAATCTTTTTGATTGTAGACATCCTAGGGGTTGTGAAGTAGAATCTTGTGGTTTTAATTTGCATTTCTCCAGTGACTAATAATGTTAAATATATTTCCTGTTTATTGCTTCTTCTTGGATTTGCCTATGGAGATATATCTATTCATATTTTTTGCCCATGTGAAAAAATAAGGTTATTTATCTTTTTATTGTTGAATTGCAAGAATTCTTTATGTATTATTGAGACATGTCTTTTATGTCCACATATGACTTACAAGTATTTTCTTCCGTTTCTTGGGTATCTTTTCACTTCCTTGATGATGTCTTTTAAAACATGGAAGTTAATTTTGATGAAATCAAATTTATCTTTTTCATTTCTCTTTTGTGCTCTTGATGTCATGTCTAATAAAACATTGGCTAATTCAAAGTCACAGAGATTCCTATGATTTTTTTTGAAGTTATTTCTGTCTATGACATATTTTGAGTTAATTTTTGTGTATAATGTCTGAGATACTGCTCTAACTTTTCATTGTTTTGTGTGTGAATATCCAGTATTCCTACTACTGGTTGTTAAAAAGAACTTTCTTTCCCCATTGAATGGTCTTGGTACCTTGGTTGGCAATCAGTTGACCATAAATCTTAGGACTTGTTTTTGAACTCATAATTCTGTTTCACTGATTTATATGTTTTATTTTATGCCAATACAACATTTTCTTAGTTACTGTAGTTTTCTAGTATTCCCCTTATTTTAAGCTGATTTCCTCTTTCTATGCCAGAGAGAAAAACTTGACTTGACTGCCCCCAATTTTATAAGTTCTTCTTATCACAGAGTGATGGAGTATTTCAGTGTAAGGGAACTTGGTGAATAGCTGGTATAGTCATTTCATTTTACAGATGGTGACTCTGGGCCCCAGAGATTGGTCTACATGATAGGATGATATGGTCCTTCCTGCATACATTTGTACCAGTTTAAGAAATCTCATCCACTTGTCATATTTGCTTCAGATTTTTGTAAAGAAATCAAATATCATAAACTGTATGCTCTTGCCTGATTCTATTTTTCTCATTCCTACTCCAGGAAAAACTATCATCCTGAATCTAGTGTGTATAATTTTACGTCCTTGCACTTTTTCAGTACAAAGTTATATATACATATATACACATACACGTGCGCACACTATGAACACACATTATCATCATCATTTAGCAACATTCTTTTCTCATTTTAGCATCGTTTTAAGGTTTATTCACATTGACATGTAGTATTGTTTCATTTAAGTGTTTTATCATATTCCATTTAATGAATATATCACTTTTAGTCATTGACTCTCTTGTTCAAAGGCATTTAAGTTTTTGTTTTTTCCTATTATAAATAATTCCTGTAAATTTGTCCCTTTATTTGAATATGAGGGTGTTTCTATGGAAGTAATACCACTGGGGAGCAGCAGAGGACCTGCAGCTTTTTAACTAGATATTGCAAATTCTTCTCCATTGTGCTTCTCATAGCTTCTCATAGCTTTTACAACCTCACTTGTATCCGATACTGTCACACTTTTCAATTTTTTTCCACTCTGATGTGTGATAATGGTATCTTGTTATTTAATTTGTATTTCCCTGATCACTAGTAAAGTTGAACTTCAATTTCAAATGTTTATTGACCTTTTTCTCCTCTTAAATTATATACTTAAAAAGTACTTTTTAGAATACTGTTTTTCCCCCTACAATATGAAATTGCTGCTCTATATTTAGCCTAAAGCATGATCTATTCCTCTTGCTGCTGCTTCCACGGGCACCAGCAATACCTCCACTACAACTATTAACTGAGTGGGACTCTGTGCCTGGAACATTTATTATTTTAATTCTCACAAGACACATGTAGTTGGTAATTACCACCTTGAAGCTAAGAAAACTGAGGTTGAGCAAGATTAAGTGATGTATGGAAAGATATACAGCTAAAGAAGTGATAGAGTTTATTCATATCCAAATTCATTTCTTTCAAAGCTGTTTTTCTTCCCCTAAGATTTTTTTCTATCCACTCTTTCTCTTTATTTATTTTCCCAAAATCTCCTAGTCTTCATTGTTTTTTATGGTATTTAAAGACAATTTCCCAACTTAGCTGGGACATTTCAACTTTTTTCTGTCTTATAATACTTTGTGATACACTGGAATTTTTGCATGATAGTCTTTTTTAAAAAGCCATTTAAAGAATTGATTGAGTAGAATGAATGCTAAAGATTTGGCATTTGGTTCACCATGTAAAATTGCCAGCTGAAGAGTAAAATGTTTGTCAAGTAGCTCCAATTCGATTGATATCAGTTAGCAGCAATGGGGGATTCCATGTTTCCTGGAGTGCTGATGATATTTGCAACCGCCTCTATAACTTCACTAAAACCTGTAACATTTACCATTTGTATGTGTAATCTATGCTTAATCATAGGAAGAAACTAAATCTGTCTAAAATGTTTTCTTTTGGAAACGATGTTTACGTAATATTTTACACAAATTAGTTGCAACTCAATTGATGACTTTCTCTAATATTTTAGGTACAATGGCAATCTGGTATAATTTATTTTTATTTATTCATTCTATTCAACAAGCATATATTTAGTTCCAGTTATGTGAAAGGTACTGTGCTTCTCTGTGGGGTTAATGTTCCCATATCTAATACTTATTAAGTATGTACTGTGTCTAGGCACTGGGATAGGTGCTTTAGATATATCTCATTTAATATTCCCCATACCTTTATAAGGTCATTGACCTAGTTTTTACAAATGAGGAAAATGAGGTTTAAAAAATTAAGCAGCATGCCTGGTGTCACTAAACATGTAAGTGGCAGGCCTTTGATCAGTCACACATGTTACTTTGTTGACTTTACACTAACGAATATCTAGTCAGGTGAAATTATTGTGTTTGATTACTTATGTCAGTCTTGAGAGAAAACAATAGGACAGTAAGTACTGGATGGAGGAGAGAAGGAAGGGAAATACTAAGGTGTAACTTGGGGCATCGCATCAGAGTATGGCCCCTGGGAAGGTGCCAGAAGTCCTGAGGATTCTGAGACTTAGAAGGAGGGGAAGTCAAAGGTAAGCATCAATAGCTGACTTAAAAATTTGCACCTTACAGGGGCCTCCCTGGTGGCGCAAGGGGTTTAGATGCAACCTATGAAGCTGTCCGCAGCCTCTATAGCACGAGTTCGATCCCCCGGCCAGGAGCAACCCACATGGTGAAGCAGTCCTTTCCTGGCTTGCCTGCTGCTCCCCTCAGCAGTGTACTTCTGTCAATCTGCCTGTTCTGTTCCCTACTCTGTCTCTGGTGAATCCTCTCACCCTCACGTCTCCAGGCCTATACCCCAGGTTTTGTACGCATAAATAAGTAAATCTTTAAAAAAAAAATTTGTACCTTACAAAGCCTGCT